ATTATACGCGTCTACTCGTAGACGAGTCGCTAGAGGAGCTACTACTTAGGAGTAGTCTAGGGCGGTAGTGGATTTAGGACGGCCTATAAATACTACGATCTACTAGAGCTAGCGATATAATAGGCCGCGTTAAGATATAGACGTCTAATAAGGTCGATAAGGTTACCTACCTACTCCGGACGTCCCGCGTTACGCGTGATCACCGTACGAACCGTAACTATCTAGCGTCTCTTACCGGGCGCTCCCGCGGAAGGAGAGTCGGCCTCTAGTCTTAGAGATACCGCGTCGCGAGAGTCTACTAGACTAGAGGTCGCACTAGTCGCGCCGTAAGAGCCTACTAGACTAGAGGTTATATAGGTCGCGCCGCGAGAGTCTCCTAGACTAGATATCGTACCGGTCGCGCCGCGAGAGTCTCCTAGACTAGATATTGCACTAGCCGCTCCGGGACTAGCGTAAGCTAATAGCGAGAGAGTAGCGCCTTAGGGTTAAGTACCTAATCCGAGCGTATACGGAGTACTTAAGGCTTAAGAACGATATTATCTCGTCTAGATATCCTCCTAATACTAGACTAGACTAGCCGGTTAAGGACTAGAGCGCTTAGAATAAGACGTATAAGGTTCGCGATAGAAGCTCTTAGAGCGAGTAGCGTAAGAACGGATATTAGAATAATTACTCTCCTTAATCGACGGGATAGGAACGTTATACGAGACGTAAGCGAGAGAAGAGGTTAGCGTATTATAATATAAACTACTTAACGTAGTCTAAATTATCTAGATCTAAGGTATAACGGCTCGCGACTTAGATAGCGTCTAAGATACCTAACTACTCTATCGGTCCTCGACTCGTCCGTTATTCGCGAGAGCTTAAGCTAGTATAATAGCTCGCTCTATTATAATAGAGCTTAAGAGTATAACTATATAAAGACTACTAGAGATTATAGTTAGGCGATATATACGGATCGCGTTATTAATACGGAGCTACTAAAGTATATTCCTCTAGCCGTATTAATAGCTTACGACGAGACTAATATCTCTACTCTTAATTAATAAATTTACTTATATGTACTCTTATCTAAATCTATCTACGCGCGTTAGCTAATATAGACGGATTATATCGACTCGCTAGAGAAGGGTAAGCGAGTTAAGACCGTCGCGGCGTAGAGTATAATAGAAGATATTAAGTACGCTAGTAGAGTTATTTATAATAATCGATAGAATATAGTTAAGAAAGTCGGACCGAGTATATTCTAGAAGTTATCGTCGCGTCTCGAAGAGACGATTACGAGCCCGACGATAGGTCGCCGCTATATTACGGAGCGTACGAAACTTAGTCTAGAATTATTCTTAATAATCTCGTATAATCTCCGTAATATCGTAATTATTTTCGATATATATCTATACTTTATTAACGATATCGTCTATTCGATTAATAATACCGATAACGACCGTCTAGAACTAGTTAAGGACTATAAGACGATTTAGAGATAGAAGAGCGCGAAGATAGTTAATAAACTCTTAGGCTAACGTGAAGATACGGCCGTTAATAACTAGTAGATAAGTCGTAGTTAAGACGAGAGTATTATTATCTAAAGGTATAATAGTAGTAGTAGATAACGAGAAACTCTCTAGAGAAGCGGTATAATAAGAAGTTATCTTCGTCTCTTAAGATCTAGTCTAAGAGCTACGATTATTAGTATTAAGTAACTCTAGTATAAGAAGATCGTAGGATATATCTAATCGTAACTAACGCGATAGGTTAGGCTTAATTTATATATCGTACCGGTATAAGAGAAGGTCTAGTTAGTGAGAATACTTAAGTCTCTATACGATCGTTAATATTAAGTAGCTCTAGTATAAGAAGATTATAGAATATATCTAATCGTAACTAGCGCGATAGATTAGACTTAATTTATATATCGTACCGGTTCGGGAGAAGGTCTAGTTAATAAGAACACTTAAGTCTCTATACGATCGTTAATATTAAGTAGCTTAAGTATAAGAAGACTAGAGAGTATATCTTATCTTAATAAACGCGTTATCTTATAGTTTATATTCTATATAAGTACGGGAGACGGCCTAGCGGATCGAGATAAGAAAATAAACTAATTAAAGATAAGACTAGTAGAGAGAGAAAACGGATAAAGAAGGAAGAAAGTATTAGAGCGAGAGTATAAGAGGAAGAGTTTTATAATACGGAAAAATTTTATAGTTATATAGCGGGCGATTAAGATATTAATAGAATATTATAAAGATAGTAACTATTACTATTACGTAAAGATAGATATCTAAGAGAATAGTAAGATATCGAGAGCTCGTACTAAGCGATAATATAACTTATATTCTTACTTAAGAGATAACTAAAGTTTTATCTAAGAGATAATTAAAGACTCTCGCTTAATAGATAACTAAAGTCTTACTTAAGAGATGACTAAAGTCTTACTTAAGGAACGATTAAAGATACTCGCTTAACGGATAACTAAAGTCTTACCTAAGGAATAATTAAAGTCTTACTTAAGAGACGATTAAAGACTCTTATATAACGGACGGCTAAAGTCTTACTTAAGGAACGATTAAAGACTCTTACGTAACGGATAGCTAAAGTCTTATCTAAGGAATAATTAAAGGCTCTCGCTTAACGGACGACTAAGGTCTTACTTAAGAGACGACTAAAGGTACTCGCTTAACGAACAATTAAGATCTTACTTAAGAGACGACTAAAGTCTCACTTAAGAGACGACTAAAGTCTTACTTAAGGAACGATTAAAGACTCTCGCTTAACGAACGACTAAAGTCTTATCTAAGGAACGATTAAAGACTCTCGCTTAACGAACGATTAAGACCTTACTTAAGAGACGACTAAAGTCTTACTTAAGGAACGATTAAAGGTACTCGCTTAACGGACGACTAAAGTCTTATCTAAGGAACGATTAAAGACACTAGCTTAACGGACGACTAAGGTCTTACTTAAGAGATAACTAAAGTCTCACTTAAGAAATAATTAAAGATACTCGCTTAATAGACGACTAAAGTCTCACCTAAGGAACGATTAAAGGTACTAGCTTAACGGATAATTAAGGTCTCACTTAAGAGACGACTAAAGCCTTACTTAAGGAACGATTAAAGGTACTCGCTTAACGGACGACTAAAGTCTTACCTAAGGAACGATTAAAGGCACTAGCTTAACGAACGACTAAAGTTATAGTAATCGCTACTATTAAGCTATATCTACTATAGTAACTAATTAGGATATCTTATAAGTCCCGTATAATATACGGGACTTAGTTAGCGAATAAGATCGCCGTTTCGACTAATCTAGGAGATATATACTCTATAGCCGTAATACTAACGCGTAAAATATCTTCTTCGTCGGAGTGAATATTAGTCCTAGTATATAGTATCTAGTATCGGTAGTTAGTACTAGTACTACGGTTCTTTTAAGGTTAGTTAGTAGAGACTATACTATAGTAGAGTACACTATACTACTATAGTAGAGTATATTAAGCTTTAAGCGAAGAAAAATTCAATCTCGGTCCCTAAGATAATAATACTCT